TAGTACTCACCGGGTTAACCCCTGATGAGTACTCCACCAGCAGTTTGAACCAATAAATCCTCTGCTTGTTTTCACCTGCAACCAGTGTGTCCAAGAAATTGTTCCCTACAATATGATTGTGTGCACTCCTAAGGAATTTCTAAGCAGCCGTTAGGTTCCATGGGAGCTATCAAAATGCAGTTGCTGTGGTTATTTGTCCAATGCTGTCACCCATATAGCCCACATCACAGGCTGGCCCTAGGTCTGACCCTTGTTTCTTTGTGCTCCCCCCAGACATGGGCTAAGCTGTCCCTGCTTCGGTTGGTCTCTCGGCACCAGGATTTCCCTGACCGCACTGATCACTGCATTATGATCATGCCACACACAATTTATTCAACAGTCACAGTGAGAAAAATTAGGAACACATGGGAAAGATTCTAGGAAACAAGGGATCCTGCTCCATGGGAATCGGAATGTCACCAACCAGTGGGATGTGAGGAAGATTCACGGTTTGTTCCTCGCACATCCCAGGCCTCCTGTCGGGCCCTGGAAGTGCCACACAACCTCAGACTCTGGGTGGCAGGACCAGTTTCCCCAGTGTCTTTCCATCACATTCACGTCCCTCTTCTGAGTCCAGCCCCCAAGGCCCTGTTGTTTAGTCTCATTGTACTCGGCTGCCATGTTCCATCCTGCAGGGCCGGCATCCACTGTCCTGGCTCTGGAACTGTAGCTCCCTGCAGTTGCTTAGCTCTGAGGCCCCATTGGCCCAGCCGGTCAGGTCATACACAAGCTCTGCCTCTGACATGGGCTTTACTTTCATCTCCCCAGGTAGTCATTTGGCTCAACTGCGATATTATGTCTTGCAGAGTCGTCATCCACTCACATGGCCATGGGATAAGAGGGAAGGTCCTTTCTTGGAATAAGAACTGGTTAAAAGACAGGAAACAAAGGGTAGGAATAAATGGTAAATTTTCAGATTGGAGAGGGGTAACTAGTGGTGTCCCCCAAGGGTCAGTCCTGGGACCAATCCTGTTCAACTTATTCATAAATGATCTGGAGAAAGGGGTAAGCAGCGAGGTGGTAAAGTTTGCAGATGATACCAAACTGTTTAGGATAGTCAAGACAGAAGCAGACTGTGAGGGATTCCAAAAAGATCTCACCAAACTGAGTGAGTGGGCAACAAAATGGCAAATGAAATTTAATGTGGATAAGTGTAAAGTAATGCACATCGGGAAGAATAACCCTAAGTATACGTACAGTATGATGGGGGCTAATTTGGCTATGATAAATCAGGAAAGGGATCTTGGAGTTATCGTGGATAGTTCTCTGAAAACTTCCACACAGTGTGCAGCGGCGGTCAAAAAGGCAAATAGGATGCTAGGAATTATTAAGAAAGGGATAGAAAATAAGACACGGAATATCTTACTGCCCCTGTATAAAACTATGGTACGCCCACATCTTGAATACTGTGTACAGATGTGGTCTCCTCACCTCAAAAAAGATATTTTGGCCTTGGAAAGGGTTTAGAAAAGGGAAACTAAAATGATTAGGGGTTTGGAGCGGGTCCCAAATGAGGAGAGGTTAAAATGACTGGGACTCTTCAGTTTAGAAAAGAGGAGACTGAGGGGGGGTATGATAGAGGTCTATAAAATCATGAGTGGTGTGGAGAGAGCGAATAAAGAAAAGTTATATATTATTTCCCATAATAGAAAAACTAGAGGACACCAAATGAAGTTAATGGGTAACAGGTTTAAAACTAATAAAAGAAAGTTCTTCACATAGTGTGTAGAACTCCTTGCCAGAGGAGGCTGTGAAGGCTAGGAGTATAATAGAGTTTAAAGAGAAGCTATATAATTTCATGGAGGTTAGCTCCATAAAAGGTTAGCTAGCTAGGGGATAGAAATGGTGTCCCTGGCCTCTGTTTGTCAGAGGCTGGAGAAGGATGGCAGGAGACAAATTGCTTGATCATTGTCTTCGGTCCAAACCTCTCTGGGGCACCTGGTGTTGGCCGCTGTCGGCAGACAGGCTACTGGGTAGATGGACCTTTGGTCTGATCCAGTACGGTCATTCTTATGTTCTTATGTTCTTGGCTCTGACCCCGCAGCTCCCTGGTTTTGCTCGGCCCTGGCTCCACATTTGTGTAGTTGATCAGGTTCTGCACTGTCTATGCTTCCGACTTGCCACTCTACCTTGGCCCAGTTCTGCCTTCTGGGCTGCAGCTCTAGTCCCTGGGGTTCTGGCTGCTGCTCTTCCATCTCTATCATGGCTTTTGAAACTGTGAGATTCCTACTGCACCGATAGACCAAAGTCCGTTAAGCCCTAACCGAAAGGAACATCAGAAGAGGCACACTGGGTCAGACCAAAGGTCCATCTAGCCCAATGTCCTGTCTGCCGATAGTGGCCAATGCCGGGAGCCCCAGGTGGAATGAATAGGACAGGAAATTATCATGGACGTAACCTCCATGGATTTATCTAGTTCTCTTTTGAACTCTGTTAAAGTCCTGATCTTCACACCATCCTTGTGCAAGGAGTTCAATAGGTTTTCTGTGCGCTGCAGTAATAAGTCCTTTCCTTTTGTTTCTTTTATTTGGTGACCTTCAGTTCTTATGTTATCAGAGCAAGTAAATAACTTTTTCTTATTCACTCTCTCCAGACCTTTCATGATTTTATAGACCTTATCATATTCCCTCTTTGTCTCTTCTTTACTAAGGTGAAAAGTTCCAGACTTTTTAATCCCTCTTCTTATGTAACACATTCAAAAGCCCTCCTTTTTATCTCTATTATACTGCTCCTGATCCAATGCCAAGATATCTTTTTTGCAGTGAGGTCACTACATCAGTACACAGTATTCAGGATGTGCACATACCATTGATTTATGTACAGGTGATAAGATATTCTCTGTGTTTTCCCGGTTTAAATGATTCCTAACATTTTGTTGCCTTTTTTGACTGTGGTGTGCATTGAGTGAATACTATCTGACCACTATCCCCAATGATACCGAGATCTCACTCTTGAGTAGTTGCAGCTAAATTAACATCCTTCATTTCATTTGTATATTTGGGGTTTTTTCCCAGTGTGCATTACCTTGCACTTATCGACATCAACATTTATTTGCCATTTTGTTGCCCATTCACATAGTTTTGTGATATCCTTTTAAGCTCTTCAGTCTACTATGGTCTTGAGCAGTTTGAGCAGTTTAGTATCATTTGCAAATTTTGCTCCTTCACTGTTTACCTCTTCCTCCAGATCATTTATAAATATGTTGAATAGGATGGGTTCCAGGACAGACCCTTGGAGGAAACCACTAGTCACCTCTGTCCATTCTGAAAACTGACCATTTATAATGACCCTTTGTTTCCTTTCTTTTAACCAGTTTTCAAACTATGAGAGGACCTTCCCTCTTATCCTATGACCTACCTAAGAACCCTTGGGGAGAGAACTTGTCAAAGGCTTCCTCGAAATCTAAGTACACTATATCCACATGATCCCCCCCGTCCTCATGTTTGTTGACCCCCCTCAAAGAAGTCTAGTAGGGCACATTTCCCTTAACAGAAATCATCGGACTTTTCCTCAACAAATTATGTACCTTTATGTTTCTGACGATTTTATTATTTGCCATAGATTCAATGGATTTGTCCAGTATTGATGTTAGACTTACCAGTCTGAAAGTGCCGGGCTCACCTTTAGAGCCCTTTTTAAATGTTGGAGTCACGTTAGCTATCTTCCAGTCATTAGGTACAGAAGCTGATTGAAAGAATAGGTAAGAAATTACAGTTAATAGTTCTGCAATTCCACATCTGAGTTCTTTCAGAACTCTTGATTGAATGCCATCTAGTCCCAGTGACTTATGGGACTACAGAAAGCTCTGTCTGGGACAATTCTCACATTTGTCATTTAATAATGATGGCTCAGATTTGGGAATCTCCCTAACAGACTCAGTTGTGTTGAATGACAAAAGTCTAGTAAATAAAATACAAATTTTAAAATTAAAATATTGGTCAATACATCACGTATTCAATGCAAGTTTTATTTACACACCTAATGCAGATTTCTTTTGTTGTTTTCCCCAATGGATAAGTTTCAGGAAGAGCTCGTCCACATTAGCAATGAAGTGAAAAGGAAAAACCAATTCTGTCTTTCTCAGGAGTGCTCCTGCTACTCTACAAAAAACTCTGCTAAACCAGTGCAAACATTTGTTTCCCTGGTATAAAATGTTCATGACAGAATCTGTATTGTGTCATACCTAGTCTGAGAAGAAAAAAGTTTTTCCAAAGTTGTATCTTGTTCTATAGCTTTGCTTTTATCAGGTTCATCGAGGAAAACGATCTTTCTTCCTTAATGTTGCTTAAAAGTGGAGACATCAACAAGAGAGCAACTGCTCAATTTAATCAAGGCCTTATTTCTCATCAGCAACAGCGTGTTAACAAATACCAACCTCAAACAGCTCAACTTATATGACCTAGGTCTGAGGTTACAGAACCAAGACAAAGCTTTCCCCTGCTTCTCAAGCTGTCAAAGGTGTCCACAGAACCATGGCAAAAATGAGATCTCAGCCCATATATGTTGCATAGGGCTGACCAGAAAAAGGGGACTTACAAATTCCTTACCAGATCATGATGAAGAAGACCTGTATCTAAGTTACAATTTTGTCTTTGGATGGCTAAATCTGTAACTTCAATTTCTCAAACTAATAAAACCTGTATTCACCCAGGGACTAATAAGAAACCACCAGAAAGCTACAGTATCGTCTGGTGGATTGGAAGTCACAGGTAGGCCGACTGACAGGATGGTGGAATGTGCAATGATGGGTGACACTGAAACAGGCCAGGTGATGATCAGAGAGTGGGAACTCGGCAATGGTGAAAGCAGCATTTGGGGATGGAACGGTGAGATATCAAAGCTGCTGAGACCATGAACTTCCATAATTCTAAGCTCAGCCAAAGTGAAACAGCAATCTTGGTTAATGAGAAGGTAACTGTCCCCGTTTTGGGATGTGGTTTAAATTCAGAGGCTCAATGGGATCACAATCTGCAAAAGTTTTTCCTCATTTTGTCACGAAGCTCTTTGGTTTTGACTCCATATACGACTGGGTTGAACATGGTGGGGACAAGCACAAAGACACTGGCCAAGAAGATATGAACGTGAGGAGCAATGCCCTCACCAAACCGATTTTTCATGAGGGCAAAAAGGTAGGAAGTATAAGACGTCATCATTGCGCTGATGTGGGCGGTGCAGGTGTTGAGGGCTTTCTGGTGGGCTTTCTGGGAGGAGATTCTAAGAACAGCTCTGATGATCAGAGAGTAGGAAAGAGCAATGAGCATCAGGTCTGACCCAATGAGTGTAAGTATCATCACCAAGCCATAGACCCTGTAGAATGCGAGATCCCCACATAAAATCTTTGCCACCGGAATAGCCTGACAGGCTATATCAAAGATGATGCGGTTGCCACAGAAAGGCAGTTGGTTCAGCATCAGGGTCACAGGCAGCACCAAAACTATCCCTCTTATTAAACTGAGAAGCCCTAGCATAGCTATCCGTGTGTGGGTGAGGATGGTGGTGTATCTCAGAGGGTTACATATGGCAACATAGCGATCAAAGCCCATTGCCACAAGGACACCTGATTGCGTTGCAAAAGCCATGTTAATGAAGGTAATTTGTGTGAGGCAGCCATTCACTGTGATGACTTTCAGATTGAACCAAAATATACCCAGGGCCTTTGGCACAATGCAAGTAGACATGCTGATGTCTGTGAGCGCCAGCAGGCAGAGCAGCAGGTACATCGGCTGGCGCAGGGTCTGTTCTTTGACAACAACAAACAGAATGGAGAAATTTCCCAACAGGGAGAAAATGTAGCAAGTAGCGTAAGGGATGGAAATCCAGGAGTGAGCATCTTCCAGGCCAGGGATGCCCGTTAGGATGAACGTTGACATGTCAGAGGGGGTAAAGTTGAAATCTGCCATGAGGTGGTGGATGAGACCACAGGGTTGAGGAATGCACAGGATGCCTGTGAAACACAGAAGGTCAGTGAGCAGAGGTTACACATAATAACCAATATCACAGTAAACATGATAGTTATTGCCACTTTAGAAAAGTGAGTAGTGATGTGGCCACTCTTACTGAAGACAACAGATTGTTTAGACCAAAATGAAATCCAGGGTAGTTCTTAAAAGGAGCTAACCGTGCCAGGTTATTTTGCAGCATGATGGCAGATCAATTTTGATACTGAGAGTTGCAACATGTCTGCCCATTAGAGGTAAAAGCTTGAGCTCCTCAAACATCAAACAAGATTCTAATTTCATTATATGAACTCAGGACAGAGATCTTTGGAACAAGCCAGTCTCCAGATATTTCACCATCTCCACTAAAGCTTACTATTTAGCCGTGCACCTCTGATTAATGTAGGGTCAAAGAATGTAGCAGTGATTGTATTATAGCCAACTACAGTTGGAAGCAGTGACTCTAAGTAACATTTGGGGACATAAAGAGAGAATTAGCTAAATATGAGCTCCCGGTGTGACCTTGGGGCAAACAGAACCAATGTGACCTTGGGATGCTAACCAGGGGAATCTCAAGGGAAGTTATTTTGCCTCAACATTTGGCACCGGTGCGACTGCTACTGGAATCCTGTTTCCAGGTCTGAGTCCACAATACAAAAGAAATGTTGTTAACACTGAAGAGAAAAATCACACACACACAAAAATTAAAAGATTAGAAAACCTGCTTTGTTGTGACAGCTTCAATGAGGACATTCGGTTTAATTTACGAAAGGTAGCTAAGGAGAACAATGACGTGACAACCGTGGTGGATTCTTCATCACTGAACATTTTTAAATCAAGGTTTGGTGTTTCTCTCTCTAAAGACCAGCTCTGGGAATATGACTGTGAAAACTGTCTACACAGGAACTCAGAAGAGGCGATCACAACAGTCACTTCTGGTCTTGGAATTCCATCTCAGCTCATCCCCAGCTTTATTGCAACCCCCTGGAAAAGTAACCTTCCTGAGGTGGATTTTCAGTGCTGACATTTCCTCACCAATGACTCATAAGGTGTCAATGTGGTTGCTCACGGGAGCAGGAATAATCTCGACAGCAGATGGTAATAGAGAGAATAGTCTACAGTGTGATCTATGTTACTTGAGAGTGTGAGACACCTCCTGTCTTTATTGGCCTCTTTGGTCTGTGCATAAGGCCGGCTGTCCCTTCCCAAGTCGTCTGGTTTCAGGACTCTATGCCATTGTGATCTGGATACTGCTCAACTGCCCCGACTCTCTCCCACACTCCGTGCATTCCATTGAGGTCGCCAGAAACACCTGGTTTCCCCAAAGTGTGAATCAGAAACGGGATTTCCTTTTACTTCCTTTTGTCTTCTTCAGTCCACAATTACAGGGGAACAGGGAGAGCAGACTAACAAATACAGGGGCACAGAATCTGACAGGACCCTCTCCCTCCCTGAAATAAATTGTTAGTCTGATTTTTCTCCACCTTTCAAGCCATGAGTTTGATATTTCAGCAACTCTCCTGCCAGTTCTCCTTTGATTCAAACGAGCTCACCTTTCAAGGGGAACCAGATGCCTCCAGCTGAAATCACTGCAGGCTCGTGGTCAGTTCAGATAAATGCATCTATTCAAGTTCCTACACATGGGTGAAGAATAATTTGAAGGACTCTCAGATTTCACCCATAGCTTGGTCTAACAGGAAGAAATAATAAACCAAGCATCTACACTACTAAGCCTGTTATTAAGCCAGGCTTAACAAGGAGATCTTGCACGATCTCAAAATAAAAAAGGAGTCATATAAAAAATGGAAACTAGGACAACTAACAAAGGATGAATATAGGCAAGTAACACGGGAATACAGGGGCAAGATTAGAAAGGCAAAGGCACAAAATGAGATCAAACTAGCTACAGGCATAAAGGGAAACAAGAAGACCTTTTATAAATACATTAAAAGCAAGAGGAAGACCAAGGACAGGGTAGGCCCACTGCTTAGCGAGGAGGGAGAAGCAGTAACAGGGAACTTGGAAATGGCGGAGATGCTCAATGACTTCTTTGTTTCGGTCTTCACCGAGAAGTCTGGAGGTGTGCCTAACGTAGTGAATACAAGCAGAGAGAGGGTAAGTTTAGAAGATAAGATACACAAAGAACAAGTTAAAAATCACGTAGGAAAGTTAGATGTCAGCAAGTCACCAGGTCCTGATGAAATGCATCCCAGGATACTCAAGGAGCTGATAGAGGAGGTATCTGAGCCTTTAGCTATGATCTTTGAAAAATCATGGCAGACAGGGGAGATTCCAGAAGACTGGAAAAGGGCAAATATTGTGCCCATCTATAAAAAGGGGAATAAGAACAACCCAGGAAACTACAGACCGGTCAGTTTAACGTCTGTCCCAGGGAAGATAATGGAGCAGGTAATTAAGGAAATCATATGCAAACACTTGGAAGGTAATAAAGTGATAGGGAATAGCCAGCATGGGTTTGTGAAGAACAAGTCATGCCAAACTAATCTGATAGCTTTCTTTGATAAGATAACGAGCCTTGTGGATAAGGGAGAAGCGGTGGATGTCATATACCTAGACTTTAGTAAGGCATTTGATACGGTCTCGCATGATATTCTTATTGATAAACTAGGCAAATATAACTTAGATAGGGCCACGATAAGGTGGGTGCATAATTGGCTGGATAACCGTAGTCAGAGAGTTGTTGTTAACGGTTCTAAATCCTGCTGGAAAGGGATAACAAGTGGAGTTCCTCAAGGGTCTGTTTTGGGACCCGTACTATTCAATATCTTCATCAATGATGTAGATATTGGGATAGAGAGTACGCTTATTAAGTTTGCAGATGATACCAAACTGGGTGGGGTTGCAACTTCTTTGGAGGATAGGGACATAATTCAAAATGACCTTAGCAAGTTAGAGAAATGGTCAGAGGTAAACAGGATGAGGTTTAATAAAGAGAAATGCAAAGTGCTCCACTTAGGAAGGAACAATCAGTTCCATACATACAAGATGGGAAGCGACTGTCTAGGAAGGAGCATGGCAGAAAGGGATCTAGGGGTCATAGTGGACCACAAGTTGAATATGAGTCAACAGTGTGATGCTGTTGCAAAAAAAGCAAATATGATTCTAGGTTGTATCAACAGGTGTGTTGTAAGCAAAACTCGTGAAGTCATTCTGCCGCTCTACTCTGCACTAGTTAGGCCTCAGCTGGAGTACTGTGTCCAGTTCTGGGCGCCACATTTCAAGAAAGATGTGGAGAAATTGGAAAGGGTACAGAGAAGAGCAACAAGAATGATTAAAGGTTTAGAGAACATGACCTATGAAGCCAGGCTTCATGAACTGGGCTTGTTTAGTTTGGAAAAAAGAAGATTAAGGGGGGACATGATAGCGGTTTTCAAATATCTAAAAGGGTGTCACAAGGAGGAAGGAGAAAATTTGTTCCTCTTGGTTTCTGAGGACAGGACAAGGAGTAATGGGCTTAAAGTGCAGCAGGGGAGGTTTAGATTGGACATTAGGAAAAAATTCCTAACTGTCAGGGTGGTCAAATATTGGAATAAATTGCCAAGGGAGGTGGTGGAATCTCCCTCTCTGGAGATATTTAAGAACAGGTTAGATAGACATCTGTCAGGGATGGTGTAGGTGGAGTTTGGTCCTGCCTTGAGGGCGGGGGGCTGGACTCGATGACCTCTTGAGGTCCCTTCCAGTCCTATGATTCTATGATTATGGGGAAACGCGGCTGTTTATTTTGGAATACTAACTCCTGCTTTCCTTGAGGATTAATGCCTATTTCAAAGTGACTTTCCAGGTATGGACATGCCCTTAGTGTTTTAGTTTCAGCAACTGGAGAGCGCTGTTTGGCTTGGGAGCTCAGAATCTGACAGAAACTCCAGTGTCTGTGACCTTCTCAGAGCAGGTTTCAAAGCTGGGATTTCCAAACACATGGACCCCAATTTTGCTCTCTGGGAAGTTAGTGTTGGTCTGGAGTGATACACTGAAGGCAGAATGTGAGAGCAAATTGTGGCCAGTGTGTGACCCATGTTTGTTGTGTACCCCAAGTAGCACAGATCTCCACTGCAGAGGGTTTACCTGTGCAGTGCAGTTGAGGAATTGGAAAACCACACTGCACAAAACCAGGAAGCTACTCAAAAGGATAAAAGGACACAGGAAGGAACAAGGCATTGATTCTAAGGACAGATAATGGTCTCAACATTTTTTCCAATACAGTGGTAGTTCCAATTTATTTTGAAAAATCCCTGGTATGTTTGAAATAATCTAAACATTTTAAGTCACTGTCCTGGTTAATTCCTGCCCAGATGATTCTAGATGTCAACCCTAGAAAGCTTCTTTACTCTTTACCCCTAATGTTAGTACAGAAACCGGCAGCTCACCACAATCCCGCTCAGCAGAGAAAGGAAATCGCCTACCTGTGGCTGTGAGGCAGAGGTAAGAGAATCAGCGTGTGATTCGCACCTGTCTGACTCTAGGCGAACTGAACGTCACCTTTATGAGTCCCCTGTGCAGTCCCTGCGGGCTCCCAGGTGGGCTGGGATTCACAGACAATTCCCTCAGCTCTGTGAGGGGGGGATGAGCAGAAATTAGACCCTGGAGACCTACAGCTTGAGAGCCTCCCCCAGGAGTGAAGTAATTGACCATTCTAGTGATTTAGCTTGTCAGGGCAAACTGCTTCTTCCCAATGCTCAGCCTGGCTGGCTGTTCTGTGGGCACTGCCCTGACATCGGCACTTGGAGGGGGGGAGGCTGCCACACAAAAACGACCAAAGGTCAGTTCACGTGATTGTAGCAGCTTGTGTCTAGTTGCTCAGTTGTGTCAAGACCTTTGGCACCCGAAATGTCACTGCTGCCCTCTGGAGGCTAAATGACGCCCTGGAGTGATGGAAGCCGAAGGGCATGGAAAAGGCTTTCTGCTGCCAGGATGTTGATATCAAATGCATTTTCCAGTGTTGCTTTGTCATGTCTAAAGTGAGTACGTGTCCAGCAGCTCAAACTGCTCCGCAGAAACAGGCTGCTCCATTCTGCACCAGCCCTAGTCTCATGGGAATGCCTCATGCACGCTGCAGTAAAGACTGAGGCGAGGCTGACAGGTTCTTGTGCTGCCGGCTGGGGTGTGTTTACACAGTCAGTGTGTTGCAGCCAGGCCAGCCATCCCTGTGCTGAGTCCATGGGGTGCTCATTGACAAATAGGCCAATTCTGCTTTTGACAGGCCATAGCATTTTCACCATACAGCTGCTATGTGTTTCCACATGTGCAACAGGGCAGCCATCTATAATGGAGCGATAAATATTGTAAACTCTATCGGCTGTGTCTACACTGCACCCCTTTTCCGGGAAAGGGATGCAGATTAGACACATAGTTATTGCAAATGAAGCGGGGATTTAAATATCCTCTGCTTCATTTGTATAAACATGTCTGCTGCTTTTTTCCTGCTCGGAACTTTGCTGGAAAAAAGCGCCAGTCTAGATGCGAATCTTTTGGAAAATAAAAACTTTTCCAAAAGATCCCTTATTCCTTATTTTAAGAGGAATAAGGGATCTTTCGGAAAAGACTTTATTTTCCGAAAGATCCGCGTCTAGACTGGCACTTTTTCCGGCAAAGCTCCGAGCCGGAAAAAAGCGGCAGCCATGTTTATGCAAATGAAGCGGGGGGGATTTAAATCCCCCCCTCTTCCTTTTACAGAAAAGGGATGCAGTCTAGACACAGCCTATCAAGTTTCACCTGCATAACTCAAGACATTTTTGTCATTTTAAGCAAAAAGCTGGTATCAATGTTCAATGAGTGTCCAGGGCCAATATTCAGAAAAATTTGCAACCAGAACAAGGAGGTGCATATTTTTCTTCCCGATAGCATGAATATGGCAGACAGACATGAAATCTATGAAATCCAATGAGTGTCGTGAAAATGGGGTGAAACTGAGAGCCACTGAATTCTTTGAGGCCTGGTTTACCTGTAAGAGGAAGGTTGACATAAGATCCACAGCTCCAGCTACATTAATCACATAGATGGAACAGACATATTTTAAATTTCTACCCACGCAGTGGGAGGTTGGCAAAAGCAAACGCTCCCAACAGCTTCCCGAAATCCTCATGAGGAGCAGGAGTATCGGTGCCGATGGGGGCACCCTTTGAGTTTAAATTAGTGTGTCTTCACTATATCCTCTCTATTGTACCCCAGAAAATCAACCATAGTAGCATCGATCTTCTGTGTTTTGTAGACGTGTTCTGAGTGTGTCTTCAGCAGAAACACACTGAAGGACGCATCTGGTGCAAGGCCTGTGGCTTCATCCAGAGTTAGCACAAGTTAAGAGCAACAGCCATGGCCTGTCAAAAGCAGAACTGGCCTATTTGTCAGTGAGCACCCAATGGACTCAGCAAAGGGACGGCTGGCCTGGCTGCAACACACTGACTGTGTAAACACACCCCAGCCGGCCAGCACAAGAACCTGACAACCCCGCCTCAGTCTTTACTGCAGAGTGCGTGAGGCATTCCCATGAGACTAGGGCTGGTGCAGGAAGGTGCAGCCTGTTTCTGCGGAGCAGTTTGAGCTGTTGGATACCTTAGACATGACAAAGCAACACTGGAAAATACATTTGATGTCAAAATGCTCAAAGGGTAAAACCTTTTCCATGCCCTTCGGCTTCCATCACTCCAGGGCGTCATTTAGCCTCCAGAGGGCAGCAGTGACATTTCGGGGCCAAAGGTCTTGACACAACTGAACAACTAGACACAAGCTGCTACAATCACGTGAACTGACATTTGGTCGTATATTGCGTGGCAGCCTCCCCCCTCGCAGTGCTGATGTCAGGGCAGTGCCCACAGAACAGCCAGCCAGGCTGAGACTGGGGAGAAGCAGTTTGTCCTGACCAGCTAAATCACTAGAATGGTCAATTATTTCTTTCCTGAGGGAGGCTCTCAAGCTGTAGGTCTCCAGGGTCTAATTTCTGCTCATGACCCCCTCACAGAGCTGAGGGAATTGTCTGGGAATCCTGGCCCACTTGGGAGCCCGCAGGGACTGACCAGAGGAATCATAAAGGTGACGGTTCAGTGCAGCGAGTGTCAGACAGGTGAGATTCACACGCTGTTTCTCTTACCTCTGCCTCACAGCCACAGGTAGGCGATTTCCTTACTCTGCTGAGCGGGAATGAGGTGAGCTGCCTGTTTCTGTTCTAACATTAGGGGTAAAGAGTAAAGAAGGTTTCTAGATTCACATCTAGAATCATCTGGGCAGGAATTAACCAGGACAGTGACCTAAACTGTTTATATTTCTTCAGAAATACCAGGGATTTATCAAGATAAATTGGAACTACCACTGTATTGGAAAAAATGTTGAGACCTTTATCTGTCCTTAAAATGAGTGTCTTGTTCCTTCCTGTGTTTTTTTATCCTTTGGAGTAGCTTCCTGGTTTTGTGCAGTGTGGTTTTCCAATTCCTCAACTTCACTGCACAGGTAAATCCTCTGCTGTGGAGATCTGTGTTACTGGGGGTACACAGGAAACATGGGTCACACTCTGGCCACAATTTGCTTTCACATTCTGCCTTCAATGTATCGCTCCAGACGGACACCAGCTTCCCTGAGAGTAACGTTGGGGTCCATGTGTTTGAAAATCCCCAACTTTCAAACCTGCATTGAGGATGCCACAGACACAGGAGTTTCTGTCCGATTCTGAGCACCCCATCAAAACAGCGCTCTCCAGTTGTAGAAACTAAAATACTAAGGGAATGTCCACACCAGGAAAGTTACTTTGAAATAAGAATTATTACTCAAGAAAAGCAGGAGTTGTTATTTCAAAATAAACAGCCCCTTTCCACCAAAATAACAGGCTCAGTAGTATAGATGCTCAGTTTGTTCTTTCTGTTTCTTAAACAAAGATATGAGTCTAATCTGGGAGTCCTTCAAATCTACCTCCATATGTAGGAACTTGAATAGGTGTTGTTATGTGAACTGACCACGAGCCTTCAGTGATTTCAGCTGGAGTCATCTCGTGCCCCTTGAAAGGCAGGTGAGCTCATTTGACTCAAAGGAGAACTGACAGAAGAGTTGCTGAAATATATATCTCACAGATCGAAAGTTCCTGCCCCTCCCTGAAATAGCGTGTGGGAGAGAGTCGGGGCAGTCGAGCAGTGTCCGGATAACAATGGTATAGAGTCCTGAAAGCAGACGACTTGGGAAGGGGCAGTTGGCCACATGTACAGACCAAAGAGGCCATTGAAGACTGAAGGTGTCTCATATTCTAAAATAACATGGATCACACTGTAGACTATTCTCTCTAATACCATCTGCCATCGATATTATTTCTGCTCCCGTGAGCAACCACATTGACACCTCATGGGTCATTGGTGAGGAAATGTCAGCACTGAAAAGCCACCTCAAGAAGGTTAGCCTTTCCGGGGGGCTGCAATAAAGCTGGGGATGAGCTGTGATGGAATTCCAAGACTGGAAGCGACCATTCTGACTTTGCGTGTCGACAATTTTCACAGTCATATTCCCAGAGCTGGTCTTTAGAGAGAGAAACACCAAACCTTGATTTAAAAATTTTCAGTGATGAAGAATCCAACAAGGTTGTCAAGTCATGGTTCTCCTTAGCTACCTTTCGGAAATTAAACCTAATGTCCTCATTGAAGCTGTCACAACAAACCAGGTTTTCTAATCTTTCAATTTTTTTTATGATTTTTCTCTTTAGTGTTATTGACATTTCTTTTGTATCCTGGACCCAGACCGGAACCAGGATTCCAAAGCAGTTGTACCAGTGCCAAACACTGAGGTACAATAACTTCTCTTGAGAGTCCCCTGTTTAGCATTCCATGATCACATTGGTTTTTTTGGCCTCAAGGTCACACTGGGAGCTAATTCTCTCTTCATGCCCCCGAATCTTGCTTAGAATCACTGCTTCCAGCTGTAGGTGGCTATAATATAAGCACTGCTACATTCTTTGACCCTAGATTAACCAGAGATACAGGTCTGTAGAGCTCAATATTAAGCTTTAGTGGAGATTGTGAGATTTCTGGAGATTGGCTTGTTCCATGAAACATGTTGGTGTATTGGGCTTTCATAGATTTCATGTAACTATAATTGCTGTGATTGGATCATCTCTTTCTCCATGTAAAACGCAAAATCCTTACTGATTCTTGCTTACCTAATGGCCTCAATTACCTCCTGCATCAATGAATTCCTCAGACTATTTGTGATAGAAATGTAGCTGTGTTAACTACACCTGTCAGTTGACAGAATGATGTAGATTAGGCATGTTGAAATTTCTAATGAAGCCAGGATTTAAATATCCCAAGAATCATTAGCATAAACATGGCCACCACTTTTTTCAAAACAGAGGGTTTTTTTTTTAAAAAAAACGGCAGTCTAGACGCAGATATGTTGGAAATGAAGCCTTTTTCGAGAGATCCTGTAAACCACATTTTTTGAGGAATACGGAATCTGTCGATAAAGGGTTTATTTTCGACAGATCCATGTCTAAACTGCTGTTTGTTTTGAAAAAACTCAGTTTTGAAAAAAGGCAGCGGCCATGTTTATGCTAATTAGGCATGGGATATTTAAATCCCGGCTTCATTAGTAATTTTGACATGCTTGATTTGTGTCCCTCTGTCGATAGAGGGATACAGTCTAGACAAAGCCTGAGTGAAGAATAGATTCTTTTTTATCTATTTTCAGTGGATTATATGTCATTGCATACACCCTGGTTCTTTTCTTAGTAGACGGGGAAAACACATTCTCAATACACTCTCTCTCTCTTGGTCGATAACATATATTCTGTTCTCTACCAGTCATTAACATATACTCTTCTCATGTCATCTCTTATTTTGTTCCTTTGTAAGTTAACAACCCCCAACTTTTCAAACTTTCTACTTTCAAACATGCCCCCCCCCCCCAACTCATCCTGGAACAATCCACACAAGAGCCCAACAATGCATCAATCCAACAAAAACATATGAGAACTCCAGCGATTAACCCCCTGGCAGCATATATCTGTCTCAGCCTGCATCTGAGTGATCGCGTGGCATTGCATTTTCTGTAAGATTCCCCATCTCATGCCTCATGGATCCCAATGTTTTGATAATATTCTGTCATGGCGAGCAGGTTTTCTCAGCGTAGTGGGCCATGATACTCAGGTCTGTGTCCTGAGTCTACACAGTTAAATTAGAACCTTGTTAAGTGTTGGAGGGGTTCAAACTTTTCCATCCAATGGGCACACATACTGCAGTTGTCAACTTCCAATTTCATCTGCCATGACCTTACTGATATTTCCAGTAGGGATAAGAAGGTGTTAGTGCCATTATACAAGGCATTGATGAGACCCCATTTGGAATACTGTGTGCAGTTCTGGTCTCCCATGTTTAAGAAAGATGAATTCAAACTGGAACAGGTATAAAGAAGGGCCACTAGGATGATCCGAGGAATGGAAAACCTGTCTTATGAAAGGAGACTCAAGGAGCTTGGCTTTTTTACCTTAACCAAAAGAAGGCTGAGGGGGGACATGATTGCACTCTTTAAATATATTAAAGGAATAAATACCAGGGAGGGAGAGGAATTATTTAAGCTTAATACCAATGTGGACACAAGAACAAATGGATATAAGTTGGCTAGTAGGAAGTTTAGACTTGAGATTAGACAAAGGTTTCTAACCATTAGAGGAGTGAGGTTCTGGAATGGCCTTCCAAGGGAAGTAGTGGGGGCAAAAGATCTATCTGGCTTCAAGATTAAACTAGATGGGTTTATGAAGGGGATGGTTTGATGAGATAACATGATCTTGGTAACTAATTCACTTTTCATTATCAGAGGTAAATAGGTCAATGGAGGGATGATAGGAGTTACTATAGAGAACTTTCTGGGAGTCTGGCTGGTGAGTCTTGCCCACACGCTCAGGGTTTAGCTGATCGCCATATTTGGGGTCAGGAAGGAATTTTCCTCCAGGGTAGATTGGCAGAGGCCCTGGAGGTTTTTCGCCTTCCTCTGTAGCATGGGGCACAGATCACAGCTGGAGGACTCTCTGCATGTTGGGGCCTTCAAAGTATTTGAAGGCTTCAATATCTGAGACATAGGTGAGAGGATTATTCTAAGAGGGGTGGGCGAGATTCTGTGGCCTGCACTG